CACACACACACACACACACACACACACACACCCCTACCACAGGGGTACCTGATGCCTGCAGAGGGCATCAGATCTCCTGGAACTGGAATTAGAAAGGTTGTGAGCCACCACGTGGGTGCTGGGAACTGAGCCCAGGTCCTCTCCAAGAACAACAAGTGCTTTTAATTGCTGAGCCATCTCTCCAGCCCTTTTTACAACAATCTTACAGAATTTACAGGGTCTCACTATGCAGTCCTGGCTGGCAGGGAACCTACTACCTAGACCAGACTGGCATCGAACTTAGAGATCCACTTGCCTCTGCCTCCCAAGTGTTGGGATTAAAAGTGTGCACCACCTGCCTGACTCTATGTTTTTATATTTATTTTTTGAAGAATGTGGAAGGATGGAGGGCCACACACCCAGCATGCTTTATCTCTTAATATATGATGCATTCAAGTGAGTATCTCGGCTGGGCCTGGTGGTATAAGTCTGTAATCCAAGATACTCAGAAGTCCGGAGCAGGAGGCGTTTCAGTTCAAGGCTAGCCTGAACAACATAGCAAGATCCTGTTCTAAAGAAGGTAGAGGGCAAGCTAAGGCTGCAGTTGTGAGGTACTTGCCTAGGTGCCAAAGGATCTAGGTTCGATCCTCAGTATCACTAAATAAAACAAAATAGTATAAATTAAATACCAATATCAAAGTACTTGAGGTGACTACCAGCCCATGGACGCAGTAACAGCTAGGACAGCCACCTGCATGGGCTTCTCCCTTGGCCCGCTTCCCTGAAGAGGTCCGTCCTACAGCTTTTCTTATTGGCCTTCAGAAAAAACCTTTTCCAACCTGTCCCAGGGCCTGTGGGCCTGCCCCTCAGTAGGGAGGGAAGAAGAAATGACGGGGAGAGCAGAGGGGTAAGAAGGGAAAGTGAGTCGGGTGTGGGAGCACACGCCTTTAATCCCAGCACTCAGGAGGCAGAGGCAGGCTGATCTCCGAATTCAAGGCCGGCCTGGTCTACAGAGCGAGTTCCAGGCCAGCCAGGGCTGCACATACAAAAGAAACAACCAAAAAGACGGGAAATTACTCGGGGGGGGGGGGGGGGGGGGAGGACAACGGTGGGAGAGAGAGAAGGGTGAGGGGGATTGTGCGCAGGTGGGACACTGGGTGGCAGTGGCGTCCTGGGGGTCCTTACCTCTTGCTGTGCAGTGGCTGGGACTCACGGAAGGGGACCATTGGTGTCTGCTTCGGGAGTCGGCTGAGGGACTGGGCATGGCCGGGCGTGGCAGGGGTGCTCCACTTGGTGGCCGGCAGAGAGTTGTGGGAGGCAGGCCCGCTCCACTGCCAGGAAGCATTGCTGCGGTAGGGGGGCCGGCCCCCAGAGGTGGTGGTCTCCGACTCCGTCTTGGGCTCCGAAGTATTCATATCGTAGGTCTCTGGCCACCCCCTAGAAAAACAAATTTATTACTACTAAGGTCTGGGTCCACTAGCATGCTGGCCTTCTGCTTGACGGGGACCAGCAGGCCAACTCCAACACATGCTGGTCCATTTTAAAGGTGGAGTGGCATCCTTCAAATTAGGGCCTGAAGCTTACCAGGGCCCAACACAGGGCTACAAAGGCTAGACTCGAGTCCCTCTTCCTTACTCTCAGTCTTGGCTTCTCCTGGTCCCTTCCCCTTTTCTCTGGCCCAGGCCTCTAATCAGCCAGTGTCAACGAACCAGCCCCTCCCAACCTCCAAGCAGTACTTGGGCCGGAAAAGCTGATGTCCTCAAAATCAAAGGACAGTCTCTGCCTTGTTCCCAAGAATCTCAAATGCTGCTAGAAGAGGAGCAGGTGACCTACTTTACAAGGTGGTTTAAAAAAAAAAAAAAAGCCTATGAAACCCAGAACCCTGGAAATAGATGCAGAGCGGCCTGTGTCTGGCAGGCACATGCACCACAGTGCAGCGATCCTGCCTGGGGCTTGAGGATCCACGCTGGGCTGGCACCTCCGCTACTGCTGCCACACAGCTCGCCACAGCACGGGAGGGATCCTGAGCTTACAGAAGGCTGAGCTCAGGAAAAAATCCACCCCTCAGATCACAAGAGCTAAGCTCTGAGAGGCAGGCCCAGAGCATCTCATTCTCTGCAGACACTCAGGCTACAGAGCCATGTCAGGGGACCTGAGGATATGCTCCTGCCCATGGTCCTACTCAGGGTACCTCTCTGTGGCAGTATGATAGAGCTGATGCTCAGCAGGTCCTTATGGCTGTTTTGGGGATCAGGAGCCCCCAGGCACCAGGTAGGGAACAGAGACACAATTGTCCAACAGAGCTAGCAGACAGGCCAGGCTGGCAGAGGGTGAGGAAGGCCACATATCCTGAGAACTGCTGTGTGCTCTGAGCCAGGCCGATCCCACTTCTGGACGCTAGGCATGAACATGTGACCCACACCCAACCAATCAGAAACACCTCTCACCTCACAGCGACTAGTGTAGGATTATCACAGGCTCTGAGCAGCTCCTGGTGGAGCAAAGAGAGCAACCTGGGAGGCCACTTCTGGAATATCTGGAGTAGGGGTGGGGGGGTGTAAAGATCTATTTCTGCAGGTGTTGCTATGCTAGGGAGACCTAGTCCAGAGCTGTCACCTGTCATGACAGCTGGCTGAGAGTGACAGCAGCTAAGCTGAAGACCTTGAATTTCGGATCCTCTGGCCTCCACCTCCTGAGTGCTGCGATTACAGATGTGTGCCGCCACATCTGATTATGCAGTGCTGAGGGATTGAACCCAGGGTCTTCTATGTTAGGTGAGCACTCTACCAAGGAAGCCATATCCCCAGCTCCAGCATATTACCTTTTATAGCTGAGAAATTCAGTAACCACACAATAGCTAGCAATAGCTAGAAACTGAGTCAGAGTGGCAGCACGTGTCTTTAAACAGCACTAGGAGACAGAGGCAGGTAGATCTCTGAGTTCAAGGCCAACCAGGCTATATAGTAAGATCTTGTCCTCGCCATGCCTCTATCTTCCCTCCGGCTTACACGCCGTCTGCCCCCTCTTTCACGTTCCCTGAGCCTTGGAAAGGATGATGTAGATACCCCGTGGATGCCTGAGCATCTCTGCGGTCACCCTTGGCCACTGTAAAACACAGCTTCTGTGACCAGAGGTGACAGCACCAAGATCTATAGGCGTAAGAGGTTCTTTAGAAGACATTTTGACAGGTACATCACGTTCATTTAGCAAACAGCTGCAGGAGTGTCCCTACTGGGGCCTATGGCCTTCCAAGCCAGGCTTATAGTATACGGTGAGGACTCCATCCAATCAAAGCACCTGACTGCCCTACCCCCACCCCCTCTGAGACTGGGTCTTTCTTCATAGTCTAGGCTAGCCTTCCATTCAGTCCTCCTTTTCACAGTCTCCTGCATGCTGAAGTCACAGTCATGTGTCATTCCTCCCAACACTTTTTTCTTTTTCTTTTGGTGTGTTTGTAGAGGAATCTCACTCTTTAGCCTTGGCTGGCTTGGAACTTACTCTGTAGACCAGGCTGGCCGCAAACTCACAGAGATCAGCCTGCCTCTGCCTCCCGAGTGCTGGTGGCAGCCCTGATGGAGCTTTTCAGATATGCACGCACAGAGTCTAGGCCGTCTGTGTTTGGGGACTTGGCATCTTTGAGATCCACACCTTTAAGGTGCATTAAACTAACTGCAGACTGAAATTGGTGGGGTCAGGGAGGGGCACTTGTAACGAACAGGCAGGGAGCCTGCTCTTGTTCTTGTTCCCTAAATAACACAGTAGAGGGCTGGAAGGATGGTTTGGTGGCCAGGGCACTTGCTGCTTAATCACGAAGACCAGAGTTCGGATCCCAGCGTGAGGTCAGGTGGTTCACAAACACCTGACACCCTCTTCTGTCCTTCAAGGGCACCTGCACACATACACAGCCTACAGCAGCAGCCTTGGCCGGCCGGAAGCAGAGCTTTTGTCACGAGTAGGCCTTCTGGTTAGGGGGTTCACTTTTTGTTCTTTTCTGCTGCTGCTATTTCTGATAGGGTCTCATGTAGTTGAGGTGGTCTGTGAACTTAATACAGCACAGTGAGCCTGGCCTTGAACTCCTGACCCCGCTGCCCCTACCTCTGCAGGGCTAGACTCTGGGCACACACTACCACCGTACATAACTTGTCTATCCACTTCATGATCTGTCTCTCCCCGTAGAACACCAACTCCACTGCTCTCTGCCTAGCACTGACAATGGAGCTTGTGGAGAGTAGGACAGAAACGTCCCAGTGTGTCCTGGGACGGCTGCTTCCACACTTTGTGCATCCTCTAGAGAAATATGACTACTAAAGTAGTCAGGGATGCTGTGGAGGTGCACACACAGGGCTTACATTGAGAACCAGTTCCCTCGAGGATTTCATTTATTCCACGCCCCCTGTCATTAGCACTACTGAAACAGGACTTATCACACTGGTTTTCAACCTGTGGGTCAGATGAGCCTTTCACAGGGGTCGTATATCAGATATCCTGCAAATCAGATATTTACATTACTATTCATAACATAGCAAAATTGCAGTTACGAAGTAGCAATGAAAATAATTGTATGGTTGAGGGTCACCACAACATGAGGAACTGTATTAAAGGGTCGCAGCATTAGGAAGGCGTATCAAGTTCCTTCCCCGAGGTCTTGGGCGAGTATGACAGGGAAACCTCTCGCAGCTATATGGAAGCTGCCCATCTTGGCCCCCACCTGCCTCTCAGGGCAATGCCCTTACCGTCGGGGAGTGCCGTCTTCAAAAGGCGGGATGATGACCACCTTCACGGTGACGGAGGTGCGCAGCAGGTCAATCATCTGGTCATGGCTCAGTGTCACCACAGCCACCTTGCAGATCTCTACCAGTCGGCTGCCTTGCCGGAGGCCAGCCTGCCAGGCAAACCCATAGTCCTCCACTTCAGCCACTGTCCCATCGTACTTCACATGGAAGCCCAGCTGCCCCAGCCCATTCCGCCGCAGGGTCATATCCACGGTTTCCCAGCCGTTGGTCATCACCTGTGGGCAGTGGGTGGGATGAGTCTCAGTTGTCTGGGTCAGAGGCCCTTGAAGACCCTTGTGAGATTAGCCCCCTCTGAGATGGACTGGAATTCCCACTTGCCTTCCAGATGCTACCAGGATCCCAGACGGGTGAACATCACCAGATCCCAGTTTCTCCTGGTTTCTGGGTATAAAATGTGCATGTGCCACTCTGTGGTTGTTATCTCAGAGGACAGTAGTCAGGGACTGTATTCTCCAAATATTCCTGCCTCCCTCCTTCCTTACGCCTGCAGGGACTGCACTTCTCAGCCCACTGTAGCCAGGTGTGTGAGGTGTGAGACAGCAGGCATGTCCTTTTGGTTAGGGTATTAATTCTGTGGCACTGGAGACGGAATCTAGGGTTATGTGCATGTTAGGCCGAATGTCTTATCACTGAGTCACACCCCAGCCCCTCTCACTGGTGGGTTCTAGGCAAAAGCTCTTACCAATGAATGACATCCTTAGCGACGTGTGCGTGTGCGTGTGTGTGTGTGTGTGTGTGTGTGTGTGTCCGGGCGTGTGTATGCCCAGGTCATGGAGTGTCCGCCTCAGTGGTTTTCTGTCTTATTCCCTCGAGGCTGGGTCTCTCTCTGAGCCTGGAACTTGCTGCTTTTTAGCTAGGATAGTGGCCAGAGAACCCCACTGACGCGCCTGTCTCACCTCCAGTGTTTCAGTTATAGGTACACATGGCCAAGCCTGGCTTTTTATGTTGGATGCTGGGGATGAAACCACAGGTCTTCACATTTTTACAAGTGCCCCTACCCTACTGAGCCATTTCCCCAGTGCCCCCAGCCACCTTTGTTACTTTTAATTTTGAAGCAGGGTCTCTCACTAAATTGCTCAGGCTGGCCTTGAACTCTTGTTCTTCCTGCCTCGTGCTCCCTCACAGGTGCAATTACAGCCTGGGTAAATATTTAATAGTCAGTGTGAGACTGTGTGGACCTTTGGATTCTGCCATCCAGACCGGTAATATTCTAGACATGAGGGGCTGTCTGGACAGTTGGAGGTCCCAGGGCTAGAATACGGTGGAGCAGAGCCCTTTGGTCAAACTCAGGATGGACGTGTAAGAAATAAACCCTTGCTGTTTGAACCACTAATGTGTCCCGACCTGCATAATGATGATCCTCACTGAAGTGGGTAGGCTACAGTCCTGTGTCCTTTACTAGCTTGGGGTCTTATGCCACATGGTGATAGTATTTTTGGAGGCACAAACCTCTTCTAACATGGAGCAGACCAGGTCACACAGGGGCTCACTTCTCATTTCTTTTAGCTTTACTTGTGTGCGATGCCTCAATGTTTATGTAAGACGTTAGTACACACTGACTGGAACCCCCAGGACTTCAGTCTGCCATCAGTGAATCTTCTTGGAATGCCAAAAGATCACCTCTGCTACACTACCAACCTGCCAGGCAAGATGTGCCCATTGGTACAATAGCGGCATGACTGTTGGTATAGAGGTAACCACCGTCTCCTTCCTTTCTCTCTAATGTATCTGTATAGACCTCAGGGGAGGACAGCAACTGTGCACTATCCTTTTCCACGTTACTCCCGTGAGACAGGGTCGCTTTCTGAACCAGGCTAACTTTCTGAACTAGACTTGCTAATAGCAGCCAGCAAGCCCCAACAATTTCCCTGTTTCTGCCCTCCACATTGGTGGGGTTACAGGTGTGTGCATGGCCACACATGGCTTTTTATGTGGGTGCTAGGGGCTGGGACTCAGGTCCAGTAGGGAGTGTTCTCACTCACTCAGCCATTCTCCCTAGCCTCACCAGCCACTTTCTGACTGGACTTGAGGACCACCCCCAGGAAGGCATGATCAAAAGCCTGTGGCTTGGGAGGTCATAAGCCCTGGTGGGGAAGCTATTTTGCTGAATGGAACAAGTTTTTGCACATAGATTAGTACTGCCACCAGCTTTGGTCAGAGACGCTTCTTTCTGCAGGGTGTGGCAGTTAACTGCAGGCCCGGAACTTGTCAACGAGGCTGAGAAAACATTGCTGAATGTTTGGCCTCAAATGGGACATTTACTATCACCCTTCTCGATGCTCAGGGAGTATCATGGAAGAGGGGAAACAATGCAAGAACCAGAGCAAAGGGTTGAGGGGTTAAGGGGTGATGGTTTCTGGGCATGGCATGGCCACTGTACAAGAGCTCACAACACTGTCAGAGAGGGGTGGGGCTCATGAGAGTCTATAGGTAATTAATGGTTGCTAGGGGAGGAAGAGACATTTTAGCTAGTGCTGGAGCCACTGGTAAGTTGTTTTGTTTTGTTTTTCGAGACAGGGTTTCTTACTCTGTAGCCCAGGCTGGCCTTGAACTCAGAGAGATCCGCCTGGCTCTGCCTCCCAGTGCTGGGATTAAAGGCGTGCGCCACCACCGCCCAGCCTGTTCATGCTCTTATAAATAAACCCTTACCCAAATCTTGGGAAGAAATTCTAATCAAACTTATCATCATAAATAAACCCTTACCCAAATCTTGGGAAGAAATTCTAATCAAACTTATCATCATAAATAAACCCTTACCCAAATCTTGGGAAGAAATTCTAATCAAACTTATCAGTCACTGATAAACAATCAAACAAACGAGGTCACCGAGATGGCTCAGTGGGGAAAGGTGCTTGCTGTGAGAGCCTGCTGACCTGAGTTCAATCCCCAGAACCCATGCAAAGGTGGGAGAAAAGACCCCCAAGGTTCTTCTCTTATCCCACATGTATGATACTGCACACATGCATCCCCACATCATGCACATGTACACGAGAATGAGAAGTAGAAATTTTAAAAATGAAACCACAAAACAAAAACAAAAGATGACTTTTGCAAGCTATGTCTACAATACAAATTATATCAAGTGCTGCCCCCATCTCCTAAACCGCTTATGGAGAAAGGATGTGTACTGCCCCACGTCCCAGGAGAAGTCATTTTACTGCCAGAGATTATGTGACTTGATGCCCCTACGAGAGGGTGGCCTTTTACCCTTTCGAGCGGCGGCGGAGTGCTTGCCCAGCCTACGGGAGACTTTGGAGTCAATCCCCAGCACACACATTTTATGTAACAAACTCCGTGTCCATACACACCCACAGACACATATCCAAATCAATCAGATCCTGTTTATTTTGAGACAAAGTCTTGCTGTGTAGCTTAGGCTGGCCTCAAACGTGCCATTCTCCTGCTTTTATTGCCTAAGTCTGAGGATGGCAGGTGAGTGCCATCATACCTAGTTAAATTGGTAACACATTTTTACAGGGAATGGGGGAGTTTTCTCTTAAAATGTGTATGGGTGCTTTGTCTGTGCATATGTACAGCACCTCATATGTGTCTGGTGCCTGGGGAGGCCAGACAGGGTGGCAGATCCCCTGGAACAGGAGTTATGGATGGTTTTAAGCTACTATGCCGGTGCTGAGACTCGAACTCAGGTCCTCCATGAGACCAGCAGGTGCTCTTAATAGCTGAGCCATCTCTTCAGCTGCTGGCTTACACTTTTGAATGTGGATATCAAGAGGAGTTTGGGTGGTGACCTGGATAGTTTCTGTCAACTTGACACAAGTCAGAATTACCTGGGAAGATGAACCTCAGTTGAGAAAATGCCTCCATCAGATTGCCTGTAGGTAAGTCTATAGGACATTTTATTTATTAATGATTGATATGAGAAGGTCCAGCCCACTGTGGGTGGGTCCCACCTCTGTTCAGGTGGTTCTGGGCTGTATAAGAAAGCAGGCTGATCAAGCCATGGAGAGCAAGCCAGTAAGCAGTGTTTCTCCGTGTCTCTGCTTCAGTTCCCCATCCCGGGTTCCTGCCCTGAGCTCCTGCCCTGGCTTCCCCTGATGCGCGATGTAACCTCTCCTCCCCAGGCTGCTTTTGGTCATGGTGTCTCAGCACAACGAGAGAAACCCTAATACAGGCGGTAAATCCAAATACCACCCAAATTTCTGCTGTGGTTCTGATTCGGACTGTGAGAACCTGGGAAGTGAGGGAAACACGGGTACCTAAAACGAATCATCACAAAATGGTCCTGAGTCTCACTTACTGTGATTCACTGTGCTGCTGCTTTTGTAGAACTGGAATTGACCCCAGGGCTTCAAGCTCAGCCACAGCTACACCCCCAATCTGCATTTCAAAACGCTTTAGTCTTTTCATGCCCTATTGCTAGAGTGCAGCTCTTGTGAATGAGATGCTCAGTACCCTTGTAAAAGAGGCCCAAAGTGGCTCGGTGCTGGTGGTTCACACCTTTATTCTTAGCACTGGGAGGCAGAGCCAGGTGATCTCTGAGTTCAAGGCCAGCCTGGTCTACAGAGTGAGTTCCAGGACAGCCAGTGCTACACAGAGAAACCCTGTCTCACAGGCACACTCTGCCTATGTGAGGAAACAGTAAGAAGTCTCCATCTGTAAGCCTTTCTGGCCTCCAGTGAGGCAGCAAGGCAGGCCCTCTCTAGACCTACAGGAACCTGCTGGCCTTTGACTCTGGGTGTCCAGCTTCTCACCCATGAGAAGCACAGTTCTGTTCATATACACAGGTACAGTGCACTCACACCTCGGCCTCTCACCCGTGAGAAGCACAGTTCTGCTGTTCATATACACAGGTACAGCACACTCACACCCCAGCCTCTCGCTCATGAGAAGCACAGTTCTGCTGTTCATCATATACACAGGTACAGCGCACTCACACCCCGGCCTCTCACCTGTAAGAAGCACAGTTCTGCTGTTCATCATATACACAGGTACAGCACACTCACACCTCGGCCTCTCACCCGTGAGAAGCACAGTTCTGCTGTTCATATACACAGGTACAGCACACTCACACCCCAGCCTCTCGCCCATGAGAAGCACAGTTCTGCTGTTCATCATATACACAGGTACAGCGCACTCACAGCCCGGCCTCTCACCCGTAAGAAGCACAGTTCTGCTGTTCATCATATACACAGGTACAGTGCACTCATACCCCAGCCTCTCACCCATGAGAAGCACAGTTCTGCTGTTCATCATATACACAGGTACAGTGCACTCATACCCCGGCCTCTCACCCATGAGAAGCACAGTTCTGCTGTTCATCATATACACAGGTACAGTGCACTCACTTGTTCGAAGGCTGGGGAAGCAGTGGTGCTGTTGACTGCAGGGGCCACTGAACGGCAGGGCTAACGTCTATGCTGCCGACCCTCTTCACGTCTAGTTTTTGTACTGTATTTTTATGAATGAGGCAGTGTCTTTATTGATCATCAGGATGACTCTTCCTTACTGCTCTAGTCTCAGTTTAAAAGCCATTTCTGCAGGGCAGACCTCCCAACAAGCTAGGGGTGCTAGGGGGTGATGTCTGCAGTCCATGTGGGCTGTGTCACCGATGGATGTCAAGCTTGTGCTCCACAAGGAGGACATCCCCTCATCACACCTTCAGCTGACCACTGTCCTTATGCTTGTGGACCCACTACATCTAGACTCCCCAAGTTTTTAAGGGAAGCAAAATAAACAAACAAACAAAAATCTAAAAAAAAAACCCACATGAAACTCTGGATGCTGAGCTACAGCAGTGAACACGTAACATGAAAGCACACAGCAGATGGCAGCCAATGGTCTGAGCTTCCTGGCGGAGTGTGCGAGTCTAGACAAGGAGACCTCAGGCGACAAGTGACCAAAGGCCTGCAGGAAGGGAGGGACTAAGCCATGGGCAACTCAAGAAAGTTTCAGTAAGAAGGGACAGGTATAAAGGCCCTGAGCTTGGATGCCTGCCTAACACATTCAAGAAACAGCAGGTCTGTGAGTGTGGGGCAGGGAGCCACAGGAAAGGCACCAGGAGGGATTAGCAGCAAGTGAGCACACAGGCCTCCAGGAGAAGGCCTTTGCCTTTCACTCAGGGTAAGCTAAGGGTTCACAGTACTCAGGTGATCAGATCCCCGTGTTGAGAAAAGATCACAGGGAAACGAAGGTAGAGTCAAAGGAGAGAGGGAGGGAGGGAGAGAGAGAGTGTGAGTGTGAGTGTGAGTGTGTGTGTGTGTGTGTGTGTGTGTGTATGTGTGTGTGTGACACACAGGCTGGCAACCTCAGCATTCCTGAAGCTGAGGCAGAAGAGCACAGCTTCAGCAGGGACCAGTGGTGCACACCTTTAATGCTTGCATAGGGGAGCAGAGGCAGGCGGATCTCTGAGTTCAAGGCCAGCCTGGTCTCTACAGAGTGAGTTCTAGGACAGCCAGGACTACACAGAGAAACCCTGTCTTGAAACACTCCCCCGCACCCCCTACAAATGAAGACAACCACAGCTTCAAAGCTATCCTGGGCTACGCAGTGAGAGCACGTCTTCATTTCCCTTCCCAAACCCAGAGCGACGGGCAGCTTACACTAGAGGCACGGGAGTGGGAGAAGCAGCTGGAGCTGCCTGAAGGTGGCACTGACAGATGGGGTGTGGATATGAGAACAAGGGGGGACCCTGGCTGACTGCAAGTCTCCTGACCTCAACTACTGAGACAGGAAACATGGGAGCATGGAAGAAACCCCAGCTTGCAGTGACTGTGAAGAGTTTCGGGTCACTTGGGCAACCCTGGGAGGATTCTGAGGAAGCAGCTAGAGACCAGTCTTGTGTTCGGATCTGAGCTGTCAAGTGAGAACAACCTGGAATCAGACCACAGTTCTGTTAGCCACAGGCTATCTGAGCTCATGTGAGTATCCGTTCCTTTCTGAGCCTCAGCTGCTTCTATCAAAAATGAGAGCAGCATTTGAGTCGGTGTGAGGACTTTGAAATGTCACATGCATAACTCACTCAAAAAAACCAATTACCGATCAGCATTTATTCAGTACCTACTGTATGTCAACCCAGTCCTAAGTCTATGAGGTCAGGAAGAGATCAGACGGAGACCTCAGGGTTCAAACCTCACCTTACCCCACCCAGGTGCTGACCAGGCCCAACCCTGCTCAGCTTCTTCCCAGCTCATGTGAGGTCAGGTGCATTCAGAATGGCAAGGCTGTGAGCCAGACCTCAGTGTACAGCATGCAACTGAAACCCTGGCTACTGTGATTTCATGAAGATGCATGAATTTCGAAGTCAGAGAATCCGAGAGCGAGGTTTAACCAATCCCAGCTGAATTTAACAGGGGGTGAAAAGACCTACAAGGGTGAGGACAGCTCTCCTCCAATCACAGTGCTGCTGGGGGAGGTCACAGCCAGCAGTCAAGCAAGGCTGCGAGGCAACGCAAGTCACTGAAGCTTTAAAACTTGTGTGTGTGTGTGTGTGTGTGTGTGTGTGTGTGTGTGTGTGTGTGTATGTAATGAAACTTGCATATTATATAAGATTTTTAAGTACTAGAGCTTGAACTGAGGACCTCACATGTGCTGGGCAGGTAATCTTCCACTGGGCTCCAGCCTCAGGCCTGACATAGGATGATTACTGTTTCTATTTTCCAGCAGAGGAAACTGTGATGGTTACTGTTGCTTGCCAACTTGACAGAATCCAGAATCACCTGGGAGAAGGGCCTCTGGGCTTACCTGTGGGGGATGGTTGTGATTAAGCTAATTAAGGCGGGAAGACCTGCCTACTGTGGGTGACACCATTCCCTGGGCTACTATACAAAATGGAGGAAGTGAGCTGAGTACCAGCAAGCATGCATTTCCACTCTCTGCTTGTATTGCTCCCTCAACCTCTTGTCACTGTGACTTCTCTGCCATGATGGGCTGTAACCTGGGACTGTGAGTTAAATAAACTCTTTGTACTCTAAGTCTCCCCCCTCCCCAGTATCTTATCACAGCAACAGGAAAGGAAATGAGACAGTCACACAGAGTCTAAGTATGTCTGGTGGTCACACAGAGGTGGCAACATTGGAGATTTGGAGCCAGACCGCTGGTCTCTAGACCCTGTACTCTTTTTTTTTTTTTTTTTTTTTGGTTTTTTTGAGACAGGGTTTCTCTGTAGCATTTGGAGCCTGTCCTGGACTAGCTCTGTAGACCAGGCTGGACTCGAACCCACAGAGATTCACCTGCCTCTGCCTCCCGAGTGCTGAGATTAAAGGCGTGCACCACCACCGCCCGGCTTAGACCCTGTACTCTTAACTACTGTGGAATATGGCTTTCTCTGGCATGCTCAGCATGCTACTACTGACCCCTTCAGAGACTGCCATCTCGGTGTTGACCTCAGTACACCTTCCCATGAGTGCAGGTGTAGTCTCAGCACTTCTCGACACAATCTTCAGGCTGTCGTTACCAACTAATTTGTCACTAATCTACCACTTGAGGTTGGGCCAAGAGTTGAGTCCAAGTTGTTCACCAGGAAGAAGTCTAAGATTTCTCAGCCCTTACCCTGACCACGCCTGTGGCACTGGAGATGAAACCACCCAGGATCTTAAACATGCCAGGCAAGCACTCTACCACCAAACTAAACCCCTTCTCAAGGATTAGCTGGCTTTTGTTTATTTGTTTGTTTGTTTGAGATAGGGTCTCTCTACAGCTCAACAGCTCTGGATATCTTGAGACTCACTATGTGACCAGGCTGGCTTTGAACTCACAGAGATCTGCCTCCCTCTGTTACCACCCCCCCCCCCCCCCCCCCCCCCCCGCCCCCAAGTGCCAACAAGCCCAGCCAGGATACAACTGTTATCACACTGTAAGTCTTTGTCTTTTAACAGAAAGTTAAACCATTCATGATTATTGTAACTCCGAGTATGGACCTGAATCTAGTCACACAATTAGAGTTTGTTTCTTTCACTTTACTTTCCCTTTATTTTTTATGTACCTTGACCCTCCTCTCTACTTTAGTGGTCTAGACTGGGGTATTCAGGTTTTCGATATCTGACATGGTGGTGTGGTCTACAAAGGTAGTAGGCCACATCCACAGCTATCCTGGTTTATGTGAGGCTCAAGGGCCATAGGTTAGACAAACCTGGTCTAAAACCTTTTGAATTTATTATTTTTTTTAACTTTTAAGTATGTGTGTGTCCATGGGTAGGTGTGTGCATGAGAGTGCAGGGACCCAGTACCAATGGAGGCCAGCAATGTTGGAAACCTCTGAAGCTGGAGTTACAGGCAGTTGTGAGTTGCCCAACATGGGTGCTGGGCACTGAACTCAGGTCCTCTGCAAGAGCAGTACACAATTTCAACCTCTGAGCCATCGCTCCAGCCCCCAGGAATCTTTTCCTTCTATTTTTATTCTCCCAGAGAAAAGCCCTCTTAGTTTTGGTACTGAGAATTGAACCTAGGGCCTTTATAGTACTCTACCACTGAGCTGATACCTCTAGCTCCACTTAAACATTTAGTATAAGTTTAGGTTTGCATCTTCTATCTACTTTCAGGTCAATGGACACATATTTTTGTTCTTCCAAGGTGAAGCAATGGGCAACCACAGATTCCTGGCCCATACCTTCTCCGGGAGCAATGTGGGTGTCTGTGTGTGTGTGTATGTGAGAGACAGTTCTGATTCTTAGGGATGATGCATGTTATGCCTGGCTGCCTGGGCCAGGGAAAGTACTATAATACCCTTTCTTACCTTCAGCCTCTGGACAATGTCCCTGATGTCCTCCTCAGAGCCCTCTGCAGCCTGCAGGAAGATGTGGTCCCCTCGGCCATAGAATATCTTCAGTGTGGAGGAGTCTGGGGTCCAGCCAATGACGTCCCCACAGTAGCAGTTGAAAACCACCTCCTTGGTACGCAGGTCCAGGAGCACTACAAACTCATTGGAAATCCCCAAAATGCAGTCGATCTCCACTCCCTGGGCGTAGTCCTGAGCTGCCACACGCCAGGCAATGGCCCCAGCACTGTGCTGCTCCGCTCCTGCCCTGGCCTTCGTCTTCTCCTTCTTCTTGGAGGTCAGGGAGATGAGGGTGAACTTGCCGGAGGAGTCAATGGGGGTGTTGGAGACACAGCTTTCAGCCAGGTCCTTAAGGTACTCCTGACGGGTTCTGGTGGCCATCGTGTGGAATTTGTCAGATTTGTGTGCAGCGTTCTCAGCATTAATTACCTTGGCTAGCAAAAAGTCTCTGAAGACATCAGACTTTCGGAATGTGGTTCCATTGGGGATCGGGGGACCAAAAGGAGGAGCGTCTTTGGATCGGGTCACAGCCATGCTAAGGAGGGAGAAACCACTTAGAGATGGGAAAATACAACTCTTCAAAACCAATAGGATATACTGTAAACCCAGCACTTGGAAGGCGGAGGAAGAAGGATCAGGAGTTCAAGGTCAGTTTGGGTTACTTAAGATTCTGTCTCTTGTCAGGGTGACAACAAGCCGGGCATGGCCAGCCTGGTCTACATAGTGAGTTCCAGGACAGCCTGGGCTACACAGGGAAACCCTGTCTTGAAAAACAAAACTCTCTCTAGAAAAGAAAATATAAAATCAAATCAAAAGTAAGTTTTTCTCTCCCTCCCTCCTGTCTGCTGTCCTGGGGCTGGAACCCTGTGTAGCTCGGCAAGTGCTCAACTACTAGCCATACCCTGGCCCTGGAGTTTCTCTTTCATGAGTGGAAGTATATATCCCATCAGTAAGTTGCTAGTTAGACTGGAAAGTTGAAGAAACAGTCTTACAGCATATGTACGTATATAACATGTTATATATATTCCCCCCCACACACACACACTTACAGTGCTGGGGGTCAGACTCAGGGCTCACACATGCTAAACAATTGATTTACCGCTGAACTGTATCCTCAGTCACCCTTGGTTTTCTGTGAGTCTCAGTATGAAGCCCAGGTTGGCCCTGAACTTGAGACACCCCATCTCAACTTCCTGAGTGCTGGGATCACAGCCACCACTCCTGGCTCCTGATTCCATTTAGTCTTGTTTATATAAACTATGTGCTAGATTACAGTTTAGGGAAAAAACAAACGAACAACTTTCTTTCCTCTCCACTGTCAAAGTCAGATACAAGCTTATCGCCTTTTCTGCAGCCTGGTCATATGATTTGATTTGGTCAATGCCTTTTGAGTGAGGGCTTGAACTGTATGTGAGTGTAGGAGGGGACTGACAGACCTATACCTCTTTTTTGTTTTGTTTTATTGTTTTGAGACAGGGTTTCTCTGTGTAGCCCTGGCTGTCCTGGCCTTGAATGCAGAGAACTGTCTGCCTCTGCCTCCTGAGTGTAGGGATTAAAGGCGTGAGCCACCGCTGCCTGGCAAGGGACCTACACTTTTATACTCTTTCGCTGCAATGGGATGGATAGACCCCTAGGATAGCCTACTGGTCCCAGGAGGATGAAGAAAATCTGGAACAGGCTTGGACTCTAGCTGACTCTAAATTCGACTTGTTACACACCATCAGTGGAGGACTATCTTGCTGTGGAATAATCCTTCTGTACACAGTGAATTTGTATTACTCTCATTGGTAATAAAGAACTGACTGGCCTATAGCTGGGCAGAAAGAGACTGGGTGAGAGAGTCAGACAAGGAGGATGCTGGGAAGAAGGGAGGCAGAGTCTGGAGTATTGAACAGACACAGAGAGAAGCAAGATGGACATGCTGTACTGAGAAAAGGTATCCAGCTATGTGGCAAAGCATAGATAAGAAATGTGGGTTAATTTAAAATGTAAGAATTAGCTAGTAGTAAGTGTAAGCTATTGGCTGAGCATTTGTAATTAATATAAGCCTCAGTGTGTTTATTTGGGAGCTGCTGGCAGGACAGCAACTCCTGTTTAACTATCTGGCTGGATGTGGAGCGTGTAGATGGACTTTAGTTCTTTTAAATACTTACTCGACACTAATATATTTTGCAAATCACCTCAACAAAGATTATTTTGAAAATCTGGAGCTGATGTGGTGGCACATGCCTGTAATTCCCTAACTCAGGAGGTAGAGGAAGGAGGATCGGGAATTCAAGGTTGTCCTCTGCTAAGCAGCATGTTCGAGGCCAGCCTGGGAGTCAAGAGACCCTTTCTCAAAAGAATAAATAAGTAGACTACAGACTAAATAATACCCTATGCAACCCAAACACAGTACAATGGTGGTTGGCATTGGCTGACCTCCTCGGCACCCTCCCCTGTCCCGACGGGGTGTAACATTCACCCATCTGTTTGACAAGGACTTCCGGGATGCCCCTGCTGGCTTTGTGGATACAGTCTTCCTGTCTTTTCACAGCTGCTGACTGAACATACAAATGGACAGACACTGATGAAGACAGAGAACTGTCGTCAGGATGGCCAGGGGTGGGGAGGGGGTGCATGGGGGATCCCGACACTACACGGGGACACACTAGACAGAAGTAACAGCATGTGGGGCAGCCCCAGTGGGAAAGGGTGTATGCAGAAGGAGGTATCTCGCATTTCCCATCTGCCATGCTTTGATAGGGAGGCCTCTGTACCTGGGGTCCCACAAGCTCAGGCTTCTAAGTGAGCTTGGGCAACAGGAGGCTGATGGTGGGAGGAAAGATGCTGGGGTGCACCCACGTGCAGCCTGATGATGTGACGGGAGGCCACCTACATTGTGTCACTCCATGTACTGTACTGTCTGCCGACATCAGGGTGTAAGCACACTCTACAATGCCCGTGCAATGGGGAAATCAACCGAGGTCACACTTCTCAGGGTGTGTCCCGGTTGGTAAGTAGTGTACAACTATATTCACTTTTCTTCTTTCCTTCCCTGCCAGGCCATGACAGTGGCAAGGGCTGAGGGCTGTGGCTCTTGATGCCTAGGTGGCCTCTCCCAATGCCAAACTCTCACCAGCTTCTAGAAACTGTTTGTGTCAAGCATGGGGCGGGCAGGGCTGGCTCTTTGCTGTCCCTTGTCTGGATGCTTCATTTCCCACTAAGCCATCCACACTCTGTGAGTCTCTCATCGAAATCCTTGGTGGGCAGTGGCAGCAGCAGTTCCTGCTTCTTGCTGGGTCCTCAACAGAAAGAGGTACATCTGCAAAGATCACTGTGGCTGCCTCATGTGGCACTGAGCAAGGGCAGGGGATCCAAAGACTAGTCTGACTCCTGCCTTCCATCTCTACCACTCTCTGTACAGTGTGCCTCCATGTAGGAGGGCCACATGCACACCACCCTGGACTCAAGGGATTCTCCAGCCCCAAGAAAAAGAAGATGATTTCCTCCAATAAGCAAAGGTATGTGTGACCCCAAAGGGCAGTGTCAATGTGCCAGCCAGGTCAACCAGGATTGCTGCCACAACTCTAATGGAGCAGCTGATACACAGGAGAAGAGCCTTGCAATTTCCCTCGGCACTCAACTGCTTAGTGACAGACTGACTTTCCTCATGGTCCTGACTCATGGCTTTAAGTCATGAAATTGTAAGTGGCTGAAGGCTCTGGATCAAGGAACAGCTGGTCCCTCACTTTTAGCCACTGGGGCTGGGCTTGTTTATAAGCACAGGCTCAGGGAAGATGCCAGTGGCCATGAAGAAATGGCAAAAGATGAGAACTCATTGCACAACCAGATGTGTGGCCACCAGGCCTCCAATTCTCTAGTGCCCAGCAGGAGCTTCTAGAACACGTGCAATTACTAACTCAACAATGGTTTTGTCAGTGCCTACAGAGTGCGGGACAGGACATTTCACTGCCAGCCCTTTAAAGTCCTCTGATATGTCTGCCAGGCATGGTGGCGATGGCCGTGATCCCAGCACTTGGGAGGTGGAGGGAGGAGAATCAGGAGTCCAAGGCCATCTTTGTATACACAGAGAGTGTGAGGTTAGCCTGGGTTACATGATGCCCATGTGTGCATGTACACACGCACACACGAAATTCAATGGGGTGAGGTGGGAGGGCAGGGCAGGCTGGCCTCAGGATTCTTCCCACAATTGGGGGAAGAACACAGAGTAGGTCTCCCCAGAGAGTGGGTACCTTCGAGCTGGTAAGGGACAGCTGTGGTTGTATCGCTAACATTTTCTTTCTTTAAAAATAAAGAAAAGAGGGAACACTGAAGCAAGGGAGGCAAAATGCTAACATCTGTTAAATCTGCTGGCGGGCACATGGGTGTCTGTTCCATTATTTTCTGCACTTTTCAGAATGTTTAAAATATTGCATAATAAAAGTCTTTTTAAATTAAATTGTAAAAAACAGGAAAGGGCTGTGCATCAGGAAGAAGTCACCCTGGAGACCAATCCTGAGCTTGCCTGGAGAAGTGGGAGGTGGGGGCAGGCTCCTGGGACTACAAGGCAGGAGAGGAAGGCATAGAGAGGAGGAAGGGCACTGAGCTTAGTGGCATACCCCTAGAATCCCAGCACGCAGGTAGCTGAAGCAGGAGGATGACATGTTTGACACCAGCTTGGGCTATGTAGTTAAGCTGTAGGCTAGCCTGAGCTATATAGCAAAGCTTTGCCTCAAAAAAGCCAAGGGCATGGCTGGGGCTATAGCTCACTGGTACAGCACTTCCCTAGCCAACCCCCGGTACCGCCAGAAGATACACATATACAGATGTACGCCCAAACAACCAACTCACTGTGCCCCCAAACACAGAAGAAATTTTAAGTTACGGGTGCTTTGACATATTAAGTTGGACATGGTGGCTCATGTTTATAATCCCAGTAGTTGGGAAGCTGAGGCAGGTGGATCACTATGGGTTTGAGACCAACCTGAGCTACACAGCATGTTTGAGACCAGCCTGGACTATGTGAAACTGTCTCAAAAACAATACAAAACAAGCCCCAGAAATAAAACAAACAAGGGCTTAGTGCTTGCCCAGCATGTACAAGGCCCCGCGTCTGGTCCCTTATCCTGTGCCATTCTCCAGCCACAGTAAGAAGAAGTGAGGAGGAAGGGGAGAAGGACTACCTCCACCCTCCCGCCAACCTCGGAGGCACAAGCAGGCTGCTTCCTCTCCCCAGGCGTGTGTGAACACCTGTCTCTGTCGCCAGGGCTACCTTTCAGGTGCTGAGAAACAGCAAATTGTTAAGCCCTGGACTCATTTAAGTGGTCTCAGTCCACAGAGCTAAGGAGCCAGCCAGCATCCTGCAGCTGCTGTAGGACACTCCTGGGGCCGGGGAGTGACTGACAGTGCTGGTCCCTGGCAGCCACCGGGCAACGCATCCCACACAGTTCACATCAGCTACAGCTGCATGCTGAAACCAAACTAGTAAACGCTGCTAGCTCCACTGAGACCGCCAGGGCACACAGGCAGGGGTCCTCACCCTCCCACGTCCACGGCAGCCATTTCCTAGACAGCTACATACTTCATGCCGGCTGCAGTGAGTGCAGAAACACGGTGACTCAGGCAGGCGCCAGCAAACAACCCCAAATGTCCATCCTGGGAGGACGGCGGGAAACTGTCACCCAGCCACACAGTGGAATGTCTGGCAGTCACAGGAAAAGCATGTCATGTTCTGGTATGTGAAGACCTTTAAGACTGCTGAGTGGAAGCCTCTAGGCTATACGGCAGAGGCTCTAGCCAGTCAGCACTTGTACTGAAACATGGAAGACTATTTACATGGAATCAAGACACAGAAGCAGCAACAGCCTCTGTGAGGCTGGCTGGGCAGGAGGTTTGACTCAGCTGCATGCTCTTCTTTGCATTTTATACCCTGTTCAAACAACAGGAAACAGTACACCTTGTCTGCAGGGACAAGCTGACGGCCTGGGCCTGGGTTGCTAGGTGGGGTGCTTTCGAGGATCCAGCTCTATCCTGCTCCTAGTCTCCAAGCTCCCTTTGTCTTTTGGGGACAGCCACTAACTTGGGGAAGCCCTGATGTTAGAGAGGGCGCAGAACAGGTTTGGGACCTGGGTTACAGGCCTATGTGTGAATTACAACCCCTGAGTCAACATGCCTGTCATCCTAACATTCAGGGGCTGAGGCAGGATGACTGTGAGTCTGAAGGAAGTCTTGGCTAAGCAGTGAGACTTTGTCCCTAAAACCATCCCAAACCTACTTCTCAACTCTACCTTACAAGCAGGGCCATTCATACAGGTGGTCCTGGGGAGCTACCACCCCCGCTTCTCCCAGGGCTGCTCTTGTGCCTCTCTGTTCTTATGCCCAGGTGCCAGCCCAGGTATTTATCTCCCAAAGTGGCACACGCCTCCAACCTGGCCGGAGGGCCTCCACAGAGCTTCTGCACAAGGCTCAGCAACGTGTGCTCACTCTCTTTCTCCCTCTCCCTGGTTTTGAGACAGGGTCTCACACAGCCCGGGCTGACGATGATCTTGAACTTCTGATTCTCCTGCTTACACCTCCACCTCCCGAACACTGGGATTTTAGGAACACACCTCTCTGCTTGGATCGCGCAGTGCTGGGGATCAAACTCTATTTGACCTTCGTGCACGCTAGGCAAACTGTCTACGAACTGAGCTACACCCTGGCCAATCAAACCTTCCCCTCTAGCCGGGAGGGTGTTAAACCGAGTGAGGCCGGAAAATGAAGCTCCTTCCAGGACCGTGGAACACCAGCTGTGCTTCCTGTGATATGCCCAAGAGTCAACACATATAAGTCTATCTTCCTGTGAATGACTGAGGTGGGGTTTCTATCATTTACAAGCAGAAACTTCCAAGAAATACAGGCTCTGATGGGAACCAGAGGGCCAGGAAGTGAGGTGATGTGGGATTTGTGATGGGGCACGTTCTCCCCAGCCTCTCAGGGCCTGGCTGTGCACAGAACAGGACACTGGTGGCCATACCTATAGCAGACATTCTCAGTGCAGGGATTGTGGACTCGGACGATGATGAAGACGTGCTGGAAGTGCGAGCGGATGTTCTTGGGGGTGAAAGGCAACGCTCCTGGCTCCTGGAAGATGATCGTCACGATGTCATTCCCTATGTGCCTCTTCCTCAGCAGCTGGAAGCAGAGAGGAGGTAAGGGTCACAGACCGGCTCCAGGAATCCTACCTAGACTGCTTTGCTGGCTCCCCATGCCCACTCCCACCAGAGGGCGCATGTGAGCACTGGAGCCAGGCCTTGTCCCCAGATGCTCAGAGCCCTTCTGGCTCCTTCTCACTCAGGGGCATGGACAAGGCCAAGGAGCCCCCACATGTGGGCCCCTAGCCTCTGACACCGCCTCCCCATACAGGCCCGGAAGCTCTTCAAACATTCCAGAAAAGCCTTCCGCTTACAAGCAGTGGGAATGGCTGTCCCTGCTACCCCAGAGCCCGAGGTGGCTTCCTTCCTCCTTAACTTCTTGGGATTTTTCGGGATTCTGTCATCTATAGCAACTCTCCAAGATCTGCCCTGCCCCCAGCATGCCCCTCTTTGCTTTCTTGTGTTCCCTACCCGATATTTATGTCCACACTTTGCACTGAGGCCTTCCCTCTCCTTGTCCCTCATCTGTCTCTTCCCATTCCGGTTTCCGTGACAAGAAAATGGGATACTGTTTTGGTTGCTGCCTGTCAGCAAAGAGCCTGACATGTAAGGAGTGCTTGGCAATCTTACTGCAGGAGGACTCAGGATGGAGGCCTTTGATCTGCTCAGGCCACATGGACAATGACAGAGGCTCACCACAACAGGCAGGCAGGGCCAATTCCAGGTGGCTCTCAGAGGGCCCAGGGAGCCACGCCCTCTCTTTCCTACTTCCATCCCCAAAGGAGACCCGAATGGGTGTCTTCACATTGTCTTATTTATTTGTCGGGATCATACCCCAACCCTCTTTTTTGGAAGGTGGGGGGAGACAGGTCTCATGGAGCCCAGGCTAGGACTTAAACTCAGTACGCAGCCAAGGATAATCAACTCTTGATCCTCCTGTCTCACAAAGGGAGCTGGCCACCATGCCTGATTTTTTTTGTTTTGTTTTGTTTTGTTTTGTTTGTTTTTGTTTTTTGAGACAGGGTTTCTCTGTGTAGCTTTGCACCTTTCCTAAAACTCACTCTGTAGCCCAGGCTGGCCTCGAACTCACAGAGATCCGCCTGGCTCTGCCTCCTGAGTGTTGGGATTAAAGGCATGAGCCACCACCGCCTGGCTCTGATTTTTGTTTTAACTATTTATTTTGAGACTGGCAGTCTCCTATCTGAACCATTTTATCTGACCTGTTAGTTCTTTTTTGTTTGTTTATTTTGAGATAGGGTCTTCCATGTAGCTCAGGCTGTCCTGGAAGTCCTTAAGTAGATCGGGCCAGCCTGGAACTCACAGAAATCCATCTGCCTCTGCCTCTCTAGTGCTGGGATTAAAGGTGTGTGCCAACATGCACAGCACCAAAAATTTAAAATTTTTTTTTGTTTGTCTTTGTTTTTTGAGACAGGGTTTCTCTATAACAGTTCTGGCTGTCCTGGAACTCAATTTGTAGACCAGGCTGGCCTTGAGCTCACAAAGGTCTGCCTGCCTCTGCCTCCTGAGTGCTGGGATTAAAGGTGTGCCCAATCATACCTGGCTGATTTTTAAAATTTTTTTTTTTTTTTTTTTTTTTTTTTGTTTTTCGAGACAGGGTTTCTCTGTGTAGCTTTGCGCCTTTCCTGGAACTCGCTTTGGAGACCAGGCTGGCCTCGAACTCACAGAGATCCGCCTGGCTCTGCCTCCCGAGTGCTGGGATTAAAGGCGTGCGCCACCACCGCCCGGCTAAATTTTTTATTTTGGTATGTATGGATGTTTTGCCTGCAGGCACGTCTATGTACCATGTATGTGCTAGTGCTCTCAGAGGTCAGAAAAGGGTTTCAGATCCCCTGGGACTGCAGTTAGAGACAGTTGTGAGATATCATGTACGTGCTGGGAATCCAATCTGGGTCCTCTGGAAGAGTAGCCCGTGCTCTTGAGCACTGAGCCATCTCCAGTTCTGGGCCTGTTAGTTCTCTGTTAGTTCTTTATGTGTCTGAACTCTATGAATGAAGTTGCTAAATACAAGACTTGCTTCCTGTGGCTAACTTCACACGAGACTCACCTCCCAGGGACATCTTCAATTCATGACCTTGCTGAACCTTCCCCAAACCCTGAGTGGCAATAACTCACGTGGCTGCTTTTCAGAAGATGGGAAAGCTTGGCTCAGAGAAGTTAAAACTGACCTGTCTCCTGTCCTGCAGGGATGAAGGCAAACGGGGATCCCATCTTGTTTCTGGTTTTGACTCTACAGGATGAGCTTTCTCCAGCCCCCACTACTCAGGAATAGGCCCCCTGCTTCCTATAGGTATTGGCTGCCTCACGCTCAGAGCCCAGGCATGGAAGCAAACACCTTTCCCAATACCCATGAGGTGTCATCAGGACCCTGTTGTCACTGTGTGGAAGAAGGACTGCAGCTCAGAGAGGTGCCATCACTTTCCTATGGTCACAAAGCTGGCAAGGGGCAAGGAACTCAACTTCATGTTTAATCCTGAAGCCAGTGCTTTTGAGAGTGTTATTAGGGTATCCTTAGGAAATGGCTTGTATTTGACTAGTTTTGACTTACAGAATCTGGGCCCTGGCCCCTGAATCATTCTCCCTTTCCAGGGTGGCCATTTATTTCAGCCTTGGCTCACGGGCCCACTCCACCCCAGGCCTAGTCTCTTTCCTCTGGTGTGACTGCAAGGTGGGGTCAGAGCATGGACTGTGGGGGCATCTCTGCCATTGATAAAAAAGACCTATGAATGAAGCCACTACAGAGAACAGTAAGGGTGAGGATTCTCAAACCTCTAGATCCAGCCATACCTAAAACTAGCCCTCTCCAAGAACCCTGGGTTCTACAACCCCATTTTATGCTTTGCTTATACAGATTTGGTTTGAGTTTGTGGTCAAATTCTGTTGAGTCATTTACTCTTCTCATTCATAAAATTGGTGATGACGCAAGAGACCCCAAAGAGATGGAACAGCTGGATGTAAGCAGGGTGACCAAGGACCAGTAGGAAGATGTGGTATCAGACAGGCATCAAATCACATCAGGCACTGTCGAGAACTCCCAGGGAAATGACCATGGTACTGAGGGTCTCTAAGACCTCCATCAGATTCACAGGACCATTCCAGGAGAGCCATCACTGGGCAGATGGGTTGGCGGATGGCCACCAGTCATAAGGAGGGTGAATGATTTGAGACCAACTGTGCCCCAGCTGGGGACCACTGACCTGCTGCCTGTTGTTGGGGGTGTAAGGGAGCAGGGTGGAAACGTGGAACATGATCTCGTAGTCCTGGTATGTCGTGTAGAGAGAGTGGGTCCCTGTGGAGTCCGCTGGGATAGAAACACCAGTTAGTACCACAGTCCCTAAACTCCTGGGTTTCTGCTGTATCCCACAGGCCATCTGCTTGCTAGTTTTTAACGCAATGTTTTTACCTACATCCACTCTTTTAAGATGAAAGAAATAAAAAGAAATCTCCCATTATATAATGTGCTGATTACAGCATGCACCGCCACACCTGGCTGTGTGAGTGTCTTTAGAGTTTACTATATGCAAACAAACCCTCAATATACCGCCATGGTCTTAAAATACTTGGCACACAAAAGGCATCCTTCAGTACATGTTCTCCTGAGACTTGCTATGTATGACAGGTGGCCCTCGCCTGTGTCCCTGCCCTGTAAATATCACAGTCCTGTGGAGCTCCTGGGTGTCCTCCAGGTGACTATGGCAGAGTGTACAGAGCACATGTGCAGCTCCTCAGTCAGATGTGACTTCACATCTCCCTGGAACACATTATGCTGTTTTCCCAAGTGGGGGCACTATTAATCCTACCAGTGCTGCTTAATACCTTCCACTGGCCTGTACCCTCACCCTGGCACCACCAGACCTTTGAGCTTCTGTTGATCAGGCAGACAAGAAGTGGTGGCTCCAAGTTTTTGGTTTGATTTTAGTGACACTGAGGTGGAATCTAGGGAAATGCTCCATCCTGAAGCAGTACCTGATGCCTCCCTCTGACCCACTTACTTATTGTCTGTCTGTCTATCGTTCTTTCTATCTATCTATCTATCTATCTATCTATCTATCTATCTATCTATCTATCATCGAGACAAGGTCTTGCCTGCCTGCCTGCCTGTCTGTCTATCTATCCATCCATCCATCCATCCATCCATCCATCCATCTATCCATCTATCTATCATCTATCATCGAGACAAGGTCTTGTTATGTAGCCTTGGCTGGCCTGGAATGTACTATGTAGACCAGGATGACCTCATCGATACCTACCTGTTTCTGCCTTCTAAGAGCTGGGTTGGATTAAAGGCCTGACCCATGCCACTTAACTCATTTTTTTTGTTCTCCCCCCACCCACCCCAAGACAGGGTTTCCCTGTGTAACAGCACTGACCATCCTGGAACTCGATCTGTAGACCAGGCTGGCTTTGAACTCAGAGATCTGCCTGTCTCTGCCTCCCCAGTGCTGGGATTAAAGGTATGTGCCATTACTACCCAGCTGTTTGTTTTTTGAGACAGCGTTTCTCTGTGTGGCCCTGGCTGTCCTGGAACTCAGAGATCTGCCTGCCTCTCAAGTACTCTCTACTTACTCTTGACATCCAGCTGGGCGGCGTACTTGGTGAAGCCCTTCAGACAGACCTTCTCACCCAGGAGGTCCAGGAACTCCTCAAAGGCAGGCCCAGCCTCCTCATTGTTGTACATCTCCTCTTCCGAGCTCTGGCCTGCCTTGCAGTACAGGATGCCAACCTTGTGCTTGCGGCACAGCTGTGGGGGCAGAAGAGCAGAGCAGGCCCAAGGAGGTTGGAGGGGATGGGACAAGGGGAGACCTGAGGTGCTGAGGCCAGGCACTGCTGGGACCACTTGGGAACTCAAGCCATAGCCAGTAGGGAAGGAACCAGTGTGGGGCATGTCCCAGAGAGGCACAGGAAGGTACCCACTCTGCCATCTGTCTCTACACGGCTGTATGAGTGTATGATGTTCTTAAGGCAGAGCTGGGACCTGGGGCTAGCTTCCTATAGGAGATGACTAGGCATGGACTGAGACTGTGCCAAAGCTAAACCTCAGCTACTTGGGGTCTGCACATGTCTGGAAGTCCAAAAGCAATGCCAGGGGCTATGGAAAGGCCAGATGGCAGTGAGTGGGTTTGTGTTTGTATGCTGGCACACTCTCTCTCCCTCTTCGTATAAACCTTGTGGTGTCAATCTCATTCCTAGGCTGTTTCTATGACACTGCTCTTGGTACCCTTATAATGTGCTGATAGCTTCCTCCTGTTGCTCAGTCTAGCTTAAGTGAGTTTGTTACTTGCTAAAAATAAGCGCAGAGATGGAGACAGAAAGGATTGCAGGGTTAGGGCTGAAGGCTGGGGCTCCTCGGCCCCTGGCTCACCCCTTGCTCATCGAGCTTCAGCAGCTGCTCTGTGACTTTGGGAGTGTTGAGAGCCAGTCGCAAGCAATGGATGTTGAGCTCTGGGATGACATATTCCAGTGCGTCCTTCAGGGGCAGGCCCCGCCCTGTCCCGTGCTTGGTGGCTGTAGGTGTGGCATCCTCTAGAATGGAGCCCCGAAGCGTGATGAGCTGCTCAACAGAGAGAAGGAGTGGTCAGGGGTGTCTCAGGGCTTTGAGGGGGCTACTGCATGTGAAGGGTCCTGCCTTCACAAACAGGTACAGCTCAGTGTGGTAGTGTACAGTAATTCTAGGCACTATGAAGGTCAAGGTTGGAAGGTTTTGAGGCCAAGGCCAACCTGGGATACACAGTGACCCTGTCTCAAAAACAAGCAAACAAAAAGCAACAGCAATAACCACCCCCAGACTCCACAAAAAAAAACCCTCCAAATCCAGAGCTGGGTGTGGTGGGCTGTAATCTTAGCTTGGGAGGAGGAGATAAGAAAGTAGTTTAAGCTCATCCTTGGCTACAGAGTTAAAGGCTAGCTTCCCTACATGAGACCTTGTCTTAAAAAAATCCTAAACCATAAAGCCAACACCCCCTCCCCCAAAGGGGGACGATGAGAAGGATCTTAACAGCTTGAAGCAGAATACAGAGGCTGAGTAAGGACTCAGAGATGCTTGCTATCTCCTCCCTGAGATCCTGAGCCTCAACCTTCTCTTCCATGGGACAAAGCCAGGCACTCCGTGGTGAAGGGGAGGCTGAGAGAAGACACACCCCTTTCTTTGGCACACACGCTGGCTGCTGCCTCCTGTGTGCCAATCTATTCCAGGTGCAGAGACAAAGACCCCGGAGAGCTGACAGGTGGGTGGGGAGGGGATTCAATCAGGGAGCCGGACCCCAGATGAACCAAAGAGGCTCCACAAAGGAGGGAATCGGGTGTTCCTGTGACAGCTTACATCGTAGACATGTACGTCACATCCAAGACCTGCCAGGCTAGGAAGCTGGTGCCAGCCTGGGTCTTGAATTGTGGCTCTTGCTGTTCAAGCAGTTTCATGAAAACATCATCACCAGGTACTCCAATTTGGTCTGGGGTGGAACTGGACACACACCTGTGCACATACATGTGTCTCTGTGTACGTGAATGCACACACACACTTTAAACCCTCTCAGCTGGCTGTGCTGTGCCATAAAGGTTGAAAATGTTTAGTCAAAGGCCACTGCAGACCTCTTCCTCAGATGTCACCACTGCCCAAGCTTTTCCTACAGCTGATCATGTGACCAATGTCAGGAAGTGAAATGTAAGAATCCTGTCTGGCCAGGACTTTTTACTGGCCCACGACTTCTTGCTGGGGACAAAAGGTGAGCCACATGAACTGAGTCCTGATGTTCCTACCTCAGTTTCTTTTTCTGTTTGTTTCTCAAGACAAGGTTTCTCTGTGTAGCCCTGGCTGTCCTGGAAGTTACTCTGTAGATGAGGTTGCCCCTAACTCAGAGATCCACTTCCTTCAGTCTCCTGAGAGCTGTATTTTTGGAGACAAGGTCTTGCTATGTAACCTAGGCTGACCTTGAACTTGCAGAGATCCCCTCTCACCTTCTGAGTATTGTGACTACAGACAGGCACTACCAAGATGTTTCAAGATAGTTTTCTTTGGAAAAAAAATTGTCATCTAGTACGGTCTACACATATGTAATTGTTACACCTAGATCAAGACCTGGATAGTCTGACTTCCAGGACCAGTGTATTCTCTCCTATTTTATTATTTCATAATCGGCTATCTATTTCATCATCACTATTATTACTGTTGTTGTTGTTATTTTGTCAGGAGTGAGTTCCGGGCTAGGTATGGAATCCTGTCCTGCTGGGCAAGTGCTATAATCCAGAGTCATGTGTCCAGCTGACAGTCACTATTCTGTTATCTGGCTTCCTCCCCTCCCCTTTTGAGTCAGGATCTCATGTAGCCCAGGCTGGCCTCAAATTCCTGATTCCTGCTTCTCCTTATCGAGTGCTGAGATTATAGGCATGTACCGCCATGCTTAGCTTCTCTCTCTCTTTTTTTGAGACAGGGTCTCATTCTATAGTCTGGGCTGGTCTTGAACTTGAGATCCTGTCTAAGCCTCCCAAGTGACAGGTGTGCCACTGTGGCCAGCTCGGTTTCTTTCTCCGAGGACTGTGCATATGGGATTCCAGCATGTTGCATTGAGAGGATAAAGTCTGTGCTGCCATGGATTTAATCCTTCCCAGCGCTGCTGAGCACAGCTGTTTCGAGCACTTGACAAGTGAGCAGCACTGTTGGGAACATCCATGGAAGCACCTCTTGGTGCCCAAAAACACATTTCCTTTTGAGTTTATACCTAGGAGACAAATTGCTAAATCACCCAGACATGCTAATCTTCAGTTTTAACGGAAACTGCCAAGTAGTTTTCCAAGTGGTTGTTCCAATTTACACCCCGCTAGTCCTGAGAGCCCCTGTAGCCAGGTCCTCTTGTCAGGAGCTTGATTCTAGCCACCAGGTTAGGCCAGGCCGAGTATGTGGAAGCCACAGCAAGAATGTACAGAAAGGTACCAGAAATACCACAAGACAAACAAAAAACCCTCCCCTAGGGCCTGTTCCAAGCACCCCAAACACACTGTTCCAAGCTGTAGTTTAAACACAAAAGATGATCAGTGTTAACTGCAAAAACACACTCTCCTAAGTCAACAGATACACGAAGCAGCAAAGGCATGCCATGGTTTGCTGCCAGGCATGCAGCCTACCCTTGCCAAACAGGACCCAGGCAAGAGGCGTGTGGAAGGAACGGAATGATCTCATGGTTGGGAGTTCCCAGTTCTGGCCGTAGTCATTAACAAACAAACACATCTCTTATCATGAGCAAAGCAAGTGTGAAACATGGGGAGCGGCGATGGCAAAGCCAGGGGTTTGCTCTCCAGTCTGGGTGGCCTTGGGGTTGTGGGTTTCCTTAATGCAGCTACAGGATGAGCATCTTTGCATCCTAACACTGTTCTGCAGCACCCTCTGCCACAGTCAAGAGCCAGTGGGGACCCAAAACCTGCTCTGGAGACAGGTGGCTTGTGGCTGCGCCTGGCCCTGGTCACTGCCCACTGCTGTGCACTCTAAAATCTCTCGGTTCTTCCTTCTGGCCAGGGGAGGAGAAGCAGGGCACTGGCAGGTCCTGAGACGCTCCTCTCTCCTAGCCTTGATCCTGTCACCTCCCCTGGTACAGCAGCCCTTCCCCAAGTCTCGCTGTCTTTGTCCCACTGCCAGCCCATTCTCTCCCCAGCAGCCGGAGTCAGATCTGCTGAGCCCTCCGACATCTGGTGTCCCTGTACTGAGGGTGAAAACCAAGTGAGCTATAAAAAGGACTCGGTGCCGCATAAGCAAAGAGGGCCTGTCCGTCAGTCAGGCCCACGACTAACCCATATGCACGCTGGCTGCTCTTTGTGCTGGGTGGTGGGAGTCCTTTAGGGACTTCAGGGACTTGAGGCTCTGTCAGCTTGTTTGAACCCCAGCTCCACCTTCTCCCAAGTTCTGTAACCCTGAGCAAATCGCTAAATTTCTCATTTATTCCCTCCCTCCCTTTTTAGTTTTGGAAACTGCTGTGGGATGTTCTGTATGGCAAATGTGTCGCTCTGATTGGTCAATAAATAAAACACTGATTGGCCAGTGGCCAGGCAGGAAGTATAGGCGGGACAAGGAGGAGAATAAAGCTGGGAAGTGGAAGGCTGAGAGAGAGACACTGCCAGCCGCCATGATGACAAACAGCATGTGAAGATGCCGGTAAGCCACGAGCCACGTGGCAGGGTATAGATTTATGGAAATGGATTAATTTAAGATATAAGAACAGTTAGCAAGAAGCCTGCCACGGCCATACAGTTTGTAACCAATATAAGTCTCTGTGTTTACTTGGTCGGGTCTGAGTGACTGTGGGACTGGCAGGTGAGAGAGATTTGCCCTGACTGTGGGCCAGGCAGGAAAACTCTAGCTACAGGAAACCCTTTCATGGAGCCCAGGCTGGTCTCAAACTGGCTATACAGCTGAGGCTGGCCTTAACTCACTTGCCTCACAAGCACTAGGGGTACAAGTGTGCCCCACTGCATTTGACTTACATAGATTTTTATTGATACAGAGTTTTGCTACATGGTCCTGGCTGGGCTGGAACTTTCAATATTTCCTTATTGACAAAATGGGGCTAAGAATGCCTCCCGGGGCAGCTGTGGTTGTACACACCTGCAATCCAAACATCTGGAAACTGAATAGGATTGAGAGTCTGGGACGACCTGGGCTAGGTGAAGTCTGCAGTGAGGAAGTTCACACCTAGAGCTGGGTATCCGCTAGTCACTGCTGCAGGCAGATGAGGGTCAAGTGTACAAGACAAGTTACAAACCTGAAACGCTTTAAGGAGGAGGCTGCAGCCCCTTACCACTCCTCAACAGGATGCATCAGAGATATGGGGAGGCACACACAAAACCAGGGTGCTGACTGAGCAGATCTCCCACTCCCAACAATTACACTGGGTTCTTCACTTTGTAAGGCCTTTCCCTTTCTACTTTCCATACTTCTGTATTATTGAAAGTCCAACAATCAGCATTAGGAGATGTGTGTGTGTGTGTGTGTGTGTGTACACATCCTGATTAAAACACTAAAACCCCAAACTCCTAGGCCTATCAAAGCTAAAGCCTAACTGGGCACAGCAGCCTGCGATCCTGGCACCCGGGAGGCTAAGGCAGCGGGACTGTGAGTTCTATGCCAGCGCTGGACACAGAGTGAGGGCCTGACTTGAAAACAAAACAACAAAATCCAAAGGTCTGTCAAATCCCCACTTGCCAGGCTCAAGGAGCACTGGACCAGATGGTGGAGGCTGGCTGGGGAACCCTGTGTGTCATCTGAGGAGTCACTGGCATGGGGCAGCCAGTGGTCAGGTGTGTGGTGCTCCTGCCTCGGTGGGAAGCTGGCTCTGCCAAAGCTCACATACCATCTGCTGGGAGACATGGGCCCACTGGAGCCTGTCTGCTTGGCGGCTAGGGGCGGCCATCTGGGACAGGCCAGCCTGCTGGCTTGGAGAGCAGCCCGGGCCCATGCTCTGGTGTGTAGGGGCCAGAGACGAGTGTGTAGACAGGAGGGAGGACTGAGCCCTATCTATCTAGTTCCCCATCATGGCCTCCACCCTCCTGGAAGAGCTACAGTTATGACAGGTTGTCAGTCATGCAGGATCTGGCACTCGGAGCTCTTCCAGCCCCGAAGTCTGTGCAGCCACTTCCCAGCCTCAGTGTGAGAGCCTGTCCCCACCTCTCTAGAAGTCAGGCCACAGCTCCAAGCCTGTTTTACTGAGGAAGAAACCAAGACACAATGAACAGTCACCTGTCCAAGTCATGGGGCCAGTAAAGAACAGCCCTGGACAGAGAGCCTAGAAGGTACCGGGGGTGAGGAGAAACAGGAACAGGGCATGCTGGATCTGCCAACGGGTGACCTTGGAAAAGTAATCCTCTGTCTGGCTCCAGTGTCCTCGTTGGGAATATCTGTGGAATGAGGTGACAATGGGACCTCTGTGGCAAGAGTTGGGGACACCATTGGGACAATGTACCCGGAACACCGAGTGAATGCCCAGCAGGAATACGTGTTGCAGTTTTAGTGTACGTTTCTGGTTGCTGGCACAAAATTTGGGTTGTATGTCTCTGCCCTACCTTCATGATGGAAAGGGCCCCAGGAAGGAGTGAGGCAAGCCTTGCAGTCTACTGTTCCTCCTGCAACTCCAGATGATGGGAGCTCAGGTCTGAGGGCCTCATAGGGTAGCTCTGCCTGGGCCCAGGGTTGGGTCTGTATGTGGTCTGTAGGTGAGGGGAGACAAAGGCATGTGTGTGTGTGTGTGTGTGTGTGTGTGTGTGTGAGAGAGAGAGAGAGAGAGAGAGAGAGAGAGAGAGAGAGAGAGAGAGAGAGAGAGAGAGAGAGACTTAGGGTAGAATTCATGCTGAAGCTCAGGCTGGACTTGAACTGATGATATCCACGTAAGGACCACACCAGCTCCAACTCCCTGAGGTCTTGGCTATTTCATTGGCCAATCCCGTCTGAAGATCTAACTCCCATCGGAGCCAACGGTTTCCCTGCTGTGGCTTCCATCTTATCACTACATACCCTGGCATGGGTTATGAAGGTGTCTTGTGAGACACTGTCATCCCCCAAGAGAGCAGTCTTCAAGCTACTTGGCCGCTTTGGTCACTACGACACCCCCCAGCCCAGCTTGGGGCTGTGAAGTGATGGCATCTGGGAAGTCTTGGTGGGATGAGTGCATCTCAGATCTGTGGCCATGAGGCCAGGTGGCACGGAGCAGTTTCCAATTACCAAACAGGAACTAAAGCAGAAAAGCCATACCCTGAGCTGCTGAAAAAGCACTCAAGTGTCCTGACCCTAAGTACAAATCATGTACATTTATCATTCTAGGGGCTGGAAAGAAGGCTTAGTGGTTAAAAGCACTGTGTATGCCAGGCATGGTGGCACACACCTTTCATCCCAGCACTCGGGAGGCAGAAGCAGGTGGATCTCTGTGAGTTCAAGGCTAGCCTGGTCTACAGAGTGAGTTCTGAGCCAGCCAGAGCTACATAGTGAAACTTTGTCTCCAGGAAAATACACACACACACACACACACACACACACACACACACACACACACACACACGAAAGAAAGAAGCAGCTGCAGAAGCAGGTTCAGTTCCTAGAATCTACATGGTGGCTCACAACCACCCATAACTCCTGAGGCCACTTACACCGCATGCATGTGTAATCAGCTGAGTTCTTATGTCATGAACAGGTAAAGTGTGGGGGAGGGGGCCTCAACTGTCAGGTGACTCCCTGGGGTGGCCAGAGGCTGATGGATGGAGAGACAGGCCCTGCCTCTCACTGGAGGGTCCTAACTGCTCTGTATCTGCTCTGCCACAAATGAGGACAAGAGTGCCGCCAAGACAGCTGGCAAGACTTCGAGACTGGTGTGAGCTAGCCTAGGCAAAGGCCGAGCACAGGCTGGTCCCGCAGCGCTAAGCTGCTTGCCGCCATTGCTGCTGCAGGAACATGCATCTCTCCTGTGTACACACACACACCCACACACACACACACACACACGGCTTCTCACTTCACCAGCACTGGTCCACGTGTCCTAAGGGACTCTGAAGCTGGGGGAACTGTCACCTCACATTCTGCCTTGGTGCTCAACTGGCCAGAAAGGTGAGCAGAAGGAAAGCCTGGCTAAGACACAGGTCCAGACCTCCTGTAGTCTGGGCATGTGATTTTTGGGGCCCGCTCTCCTCAGCTGCCAGAAAGCCTTGTGTCTCCGGTTGAAAGCCTCTGCTGGGTGGGGCACTTGTCCTCAGTGCCTCATCTGCTTGCCAGGATGAGCTCAAAAACTCGGCTGGCCCCAAACTCAAAGTAAGCTCCCTGGCAGTGGCAGCCTGCTGGGTTTTGATGCCAGGGTGTAGGCCCGGCACACAGGGATCCCCAGTGTGTGGGCCTGTGTCAGCTGGCGGCGGCCTCTCTGGAAATGCTGCCTTTACATGGCTCTTTCAGAAGGTGCCATCACCTCTTCATTGTTGTTAACTCGTCTTGTCCTGCTGGGGACTGAACTCAGAGGCAGGGAGTGAGGCAAGCTAAAACCACCTTTCTGACAGATGTGGTAGCCCATGCCGCTATCTAAGTATTCAGAGAGTGGAGGCAGGAGGATCAGGAGCTGGAGGCCAGCTGAGGCTACAAGAGACAAGCTCTCAAAACAAAAGAAAAACACTCCACCATTCCCGCTGAGGACCTTCTTCTCTTTCCTCTGCTCCTTGGGCGGCTCCCATGGAACTGTCGATCTCAGCGCCAGGGCGGTGGCTCGAGCCCTAAGGTGGAGCGTGTCCTAGATCTGGCTGTCTCTCTCACCCTCTCTCACCCGTCAGTGCCTGGCCCAACCTGTGGGTGTGGGATCCACGCAGAGCCAATCAGGGATCTGCAGACATGAATCATCCTTCTGTATGGAAAGCTAATACCATCTAGACGACCTGGGCAGTGGTCCCTTCGCCCAGGACTGAAGAGTGCACGCTGGTGACAGAAGAGAATGCCATTCACTACAAAAAAGGAGGCCGAGCCAGCCAAGCTGAGCAGAAGAGGTGTCAAGTTCTGCAGTCTTGGGGCTGAAGACATGGCTCAGCAGTTAAGAGCAGTGGCTGTTCTTCTAGAGGACCCAGGTTCAATTCCCAGCACCCACATGGCAGCTCACAACTGTCTGTGACTCCGGTTCCAGAGGACCTGACGTCTTTCACACCAATGCACATAAATAAAGTTAAAAAAAACAAGTTCTTCAGTCTTGCGAAGACCGGGTCAATCCGTGTCCGTAGCAGTTCCTGTCCCTGACCTACAGCTATGGGGAGCAGTGCAATCTCTCTGTGACTTGAGGCCAGCCAGAAATACATTCCTGTCACAAATCACTTGTATTGGTGTGGGAGTGCAGCACCGTGCCTTCCCCCACTGCTGGAGCTAACCTGTAACATGGGGGGGGGGGGGGGCGCGGCGCTGGGCAGGACAGTGGGATTCTTAGCTCAGAACGGAGCAGGCTGGTCAATCGTGGTGGAAGCTGCTTAGCATGTTGGCAGGGCTTAGCATGTTGGCAGGGCTTAGCATGTTGGCAGGGCTTAGCATGTTGGCAGGGCTTGCTGTGATACCCCAGGCCTTCCCAGACTGAGGCTTGGAGTCCTCCTTAATTCTTGAGTCCTGAAATGACCACCCCCCCATCCCAACCACGCCTTTTTTTCTTTATGTTTGTTGGAGTCAATCTCTTGAGAATAGATTCGTGATCCTGAGCTTTGTAGTCACCTGCCAGGTTCAGATCCTGGCTCGGCTTCTTATTTGCTGCAACCCATGTGATTTCTGAGTCTTAGTTTTCCCCTCTGTAAAATGGACAGACTCACACAATCATATTACTGGGCCTCTTAGCAGACATAGCAAGGATGTCCTTGGCCTGGAACGTGGTAGAAGGAGGGCGTAGAAATGGGAAGGGTTTACGGTTCCTATTTCCCCAGCAGGCACACTGTGCCAGGCCCTACCTCTCGAGTCCGGAAGATGATCCTATACTGGTACTGAGGTCCGTGGTCCTTATGATCCTCTAGCTTCTCCCGCTTGATGCTCACCGCCACGGGCCCCAGCTTTTCATCCACGCCGAAGTAATTGGCGTGCTCTGCAAAGGGAGGGCAGGAAAGCACAGTCAGATGCCTGGAAGGAGAGGGCACAGCCCACGGCAGTCTGCTCGTGGTGCACTGGGAGGAGGCTAAGGGGGGCCCAAGGCGAGTGGAGAAACCCTATGAGTTTGGGCAAGGCCTGGCTTTCTGTACTGGAAAAGTCACAGGCCTTTTCTGAGTCTCAGTGCTCTTATTTGAGGAATAGGGACCCAGAGGCTGCCCACAGTTCAGAGCTGGTGTGTGAGAGTGAGACCACAATGATGAAAGGCTTGGTATAGTACACAGTGGGTCATCAACCCAGGGTCACTGAGATTAGTCCTGGCTCTGTTAACGGCTTGCTGGGTTTAGCTCCCATTAGCTGTTGTGAAGCAGTTAAGCCCTGGGCCTAGGGAATCTCCTGCCAGCACAGATTCTGGGTTGAGATTAGATATAAGGCCCCAGCCAGGTCACATGATGGGATTCTTAGCAGTCAGATGGGCTTAACTCAGCAATGTGAGGATTAATTGAGTTAGCATGGCACCAGGCTGGCACACAGTATGTATACAGCTTAAATGCTGGCCAAGTAGCCCAGGGCCTCCGATTTGTTCAGGGCCCTGACACAGATCCCTAAGTCATGCCTGTATCTGACCACGCTTCTACAGACCTAAGTAATGGAAATACTGAGGGTGACAGCCATAAATGAGCCAGGGAGCCAGGTTTCTGCTCTCCCCTTTTTCCTGGACAAGCTGAAGAGAATTTTTTTTTTTTTTAAACCAGGAAACAGTTGTTTCTGATATCCAACCATAGTGGGTTTTTGTTTTTTGGCGGCATCCTACCAGCAGCCTGTGTGACTCCTGTTCCAAGCTTTCGTGTCGTTATCAGCAAAAATTCAAGAACACAGCAGATATCTGTTTCTTGTTCTCTCCCTGGCATTCTGTATATTTAACTGACAGTCCCTGTTTTCAGATGCACCTGGGTGAATCCAAGGCTAATCCAAAATAAGGGGTGCAAACTAATCAGAATGGTACTGCACACTGTCCTCCACAGTGGGAGGCCACTCCCGAAGAGGCTACCGAATTTGCCGTTGGTTTTTTCACCTATGCAGAATGCCCAGCATCTCAGAGATCCCAGCATGTGGTCAGTGCTCAATAGACATTAATCACAGGCCTGCATGGCTACAAAGAAGTCATTTTAGAAAGGCTACTTTAAAAAATTGGGGGAGTAGACAGGCCTTACTCTATATTACTCTGTGTTGTCTTTGAATGTGCTTAGACTAAGCTGGCCTCACACTGGAAACCGCCCCCCCCCACCTCAGCCTCAATACTGGGATTCAACTGTGTATCACCATGCCTGGCAGGAAATGGTTATCTGCCCCCACCCCTTCGCTTCCTTTCCCTTTTGAGGCAGGGTCTCACCATGTAGCCCAGGCCTACCTCAAACTGAAGATCCAGCTGCCTCAGCCTCCTGAGTGCTGGAATTACAGATGTGCACTACCATACCCCGTTTCTTGGTGAGTTTTAAAAACCAACATGAAATAGCCCTTTTCACTCCTAAGGCACTTTTCATCTTGGAATCCCGTGCTACTGAAAGGGGCCCTCATGGTGCCTCATCAGCATTCTGCTAGCCAGGACCTGGAACTTCTACTTTACCCCTTCGCTGTTCATCTTAGTGCTGTTTTGGTTGGGGTATGGGATCCACTACAACCAACCCCTTTTCTCCCACGAGGTCAACCTGCAGGGTGGACTGTGTCACAGAGCCAACAAGCTATCAGACAGGACACTCCAACCCACGGTCTAACTCGAGATTGGCTCCAGAGAACACTCTGAGCCCTGTGGAGAACCTAGCTGACATCTGTTACATTTGACAAGAACCATTTATTTATTTTGGTGGTGCTGGGGCTCACTGTCCTCCCGGCACCCTTAGCAATGACACAGGGTAAGATAAATTAGCAGTGGGTGTGTTTCAAGGACAAGCTGGGGCCCCAGCCACTCGCCCGCGTCACCTTTGCCCACAAAGTAGTCCTGGTAGTAACGAGCACCCAGGTCCACGTGCTCGATGCTGTACTGCCTGGGCCGGCTCTGTGTCCTTTGCTGCTCCTTGGGCACCTCCAGCACTGAGATGCTGGCATTTGTGCGGTGGGTGCTCAGGGTGGGCTCCGCTATGTGGGCTTCGCTGCTGCCCCCCGGGGAACCCAAGGAGGCCCGGGAGAAGCTGACATTGCGCTCTCGCTCCCCACCGATCTCATTGCGGAAGTGTGGGCAGCTAAGCAGAAGGTCATTGCTATTGTCATCCCCCAGGTCCTGCTCCAGGTTCTCTTTGCAGTTCAAATCCTCCGTGCTGGTGAAGGCTGGGTCCAGCGTCCCCAGGCTGTGGGCCCGTGATGCTGTGAGGGTCACCATGGCCGAGGCCGCTGAGGCCGCCGAGGCCCCTGTGGTGGTGTTGCGCCTCTGGGCCACCGACACCCTGTTGGCAGCTGCCTCGTTGAGGTCGAACAGCAGGCTCTGCACGTCAAAATGGGCAAAGCTCTTCTGGCAGACCCATGGTCTGCTGGCTTCTGGGGGGCTTCGGCCCTCCTCAGTCTCTCCCAGAGGCCGCCCCACCTCCCCCTCAGGTTTACTGCTCCTCAGTTTCCTGAAGATGGACGAGTCCACAGTGTCCCCACTGCCCAGGCCCCACGCAGGTTTCTTCCGGGCCTTCTCCTTTTCCTTGAGAGGCTGCAGAGTCTGGAGACTATCTTTGGCAGGCTGGCCATTGCGGGGGTCTCCCTTGGTTCCACAGCTGCCTCCTGGGAGAAGGGTGCCAGGACCCACCCGCAGGAGCTCACTGAGGTTCTGGGAGCCGCGAGCCTCTGGCTGCTCACTGCGGAACTCATTGAGAATGTCGAAGAAACTCTGCTCTGGCACACCCTGCACGTCGATGGAGGATGTGCTGCCATACTCTCGGAAGAGCGGCAGCACCCCTGGGTGCCGGGTTCCCCGTGACTCTCCAGGTTCCTCCACGTCACACTCACTGAGGGTGATCTCGCTACTGCTTCGATGTCGCAGAGGGAGGAAGGCCCGGCCAGGGGACCGGGGCCACCCATCCTGGAATTCTACATCTTTAGACCTCCTCCTGGAGAGTCGATGGAAGGCTCTGGACCCTGAGGCAGCTGGGGTGCTGGAAGGGAGCTGTCCATTCTGTAAGTTTCTCATGGAATGGGTCACTTTGGTGGACTTCACACCATCTGTGTCCTGTGAGGGGCTGGGATTGCTCTGCTCTCTCAAGGCTTCTCGCTTGGGTGGCCAATCAGCCACTCTGGCACGCACACCCATCTTGGGCATCGCAGGGGTGGTGGGGCTAGGGCGGGTGGTGGCAATGGCTGGGCTCTCACCAAGAGGCTGGGACATGCTGCCGTTCTGGGCCCAGAATCCCATGGGAGTGTAGTCCCCAGGGTGGGGCCCAGGGAGGATATCGGTGCCCCTGGCCCCACAGCTGGCTGCCAGGTCCACACCATCATTAGGAAGAGGTCGATAGGTGGTCATAGTCCTCGGGCACTGGAGTGCTGCTGTCCCTGAAGTCGTGGTACAACTCTATGGGGTCCCCTGGCCCTCAGCCATTGTTCAGGCCCGCCAGTCCTAGGACAAAGGGTGCTGGCCCTCGAAAGTGCACTTGAAGGTTGTGAGCCTGTAGAGTCCAGTCCTTCACCATCGCTGTAGACAGCAGCACAAGTGTGACGTCAGGAGGCAGGTTTCATCCAGGGGGCTCCAGATGCAATGGCTCAGCAGGGCAGAAAGAGCAATGGCTGCAGGCCATGGCCTGTGGGTGGTGTAGGCATCTTCTCAGCCATGCTGCAAGAGAAGAGGAGGGGAAGTGAGACCGGAGCAGTATACTCTACTCCCCAGAGGCAGGAAATGCGGCTTTTCTTGGTGGAGGACCCAGCTTCACTCATTTGAAAAGATTATTATGGAGTGAGCCTGCCCGCCCGCCCTCCCCTTCCTTCCTTTCTCAGACAAGGTCCTGCTATGTAGTTTTGAACTTGTGGTGATGCTCCTGCCTCTTCCTCCTGAGTGTTGGGATCACAGGAGAGCACCACTGTGCCTAGCAAGAGTTTGACCAGATACAAAGCAGAGAAAGGACCGTGACGGCCATCCCATGATGGCCGTCCCATCACCAGCTCCATTAGCTCCTTGCCATTCCTGTTTCATCTGTTCATCCAGCCATTACTTTTTTGTGGTCCTGGGGATTGAACCCAAGGCCTGTGCTAGCTCTACCACTGAGCTACATTCCCAGACCTCATTTTTTTCCTTTATTACTGTATTGAAAGCATGTATTTCTTGTGTGTTTCTGCTCTTGAATGCTAGAAAGCATGTGTAGAGGTTAGGACGGTCTGTAGGAGGATGGAATCGGTTCCCCTTCCACCACATGGATCCCAGGAACTGAACTCAGGGTTAGGGAGATGGGTCTCTCTTTCCACACGTAGGTCCTGGGAATTGAACTCAGGCCATAAGACTTGCCAGCAGGTGCCTTTGCTCACTGAGTCATTTTGCTGGCCCCTCTGTGTTTTTAAACATATTTTATTTTTACTTTCTGCACTCTTGGAGATGGCATCAATCTCCATGTGTCAGACAAGCGCTCTACCACTGAGATATACCACCAGCCACCAGGTCCTTTCATCCTTTCATCCACACACACTTTTCAGTCCCTATCTCTAGGAAACAAGGTCTTGGGGAGAGAGAGAGAGAGAGAGAGAGAGAGAGAGAGAGAGAGAGAGAGAGAGAGCGAGCAAGAGAGAAACCACCATGATCTCATTTCATATCCACCAAAGCTCACAAGAATTCTTTATTACTCAGTAATACTGTCTGCCTTAGGTCCTGGTCTCTGTTATCTCAAAGGGTTTTTTGTTGAGTTGGTCTGCTCGAAAGAGGAGCCAAACAAGCACCCCACTCTGCTCTGGCGGATGCCCTTCCTGTCTCACCCACTCCACCATAGCCAACTTCCTTTGTCCCACTGCAACGCTTGAGAAAGGACCAGAGTCCTACCCAGTGTGACAGCCACCCTCAGGATCCCTGCGGTTCCGTTTAACGTGTTCCCCCTTCCCTGTATTTCCTATAATCTGATGGACTTGCAGAGGGCAGACTTACCGCCCTCTCTCTCTACAGCCTACTTGATCCCGCCTCCCTGCCAGGAAGGGAAAACGACAGGCAGAAAACCAGAGCCTCAAAAGATTCACGGAGAGAAGCTGCCAAAGTGTTTCCAGTAACTGTCTGATTAATTGGATGACATTCACATCCAATCTTAGTGCTTCCTCGCTGAACCTCACCCCCTCCTCCAGGACTCCATATTCCTTCTCAAGGAAACCCAAACTCCTTTTCCTGGCCACAAGCCACCGGATCTACTACTGCAAAAACACCTGCGTGGCCTGCCTCACCTTTCCAGGGTGCTTCCAACCGAAGCTGTCCGACAGGTCTGCCGCCCAGTCTGCTTTCTTCCTATTGTTCTTAGCACTTGCCACCAACTGAATCTCTTTTGCATGGTACCTGTTTGCCCACTGCCTCCACAGCCAGGCTGTCAGCTCTAGAGTGGTAAGGCCACCTGTGCTGTTCACGGCTCTGTCCCTTACCCACACTCCTGCCCGGGATGCTCTGGCACTATTTGGAGATGGGTCACCAGAGAAGAAGTACACACTCTGGTCCACAGGCCCACGGGGAAGGGGCTCCCATTTCTAACACTCCCCAGAGTCACTTCTCTTTGTCTCTACCTTGAATGAAACTCTGCTGAAGAAGAAGGGGAAGAAAGTGTTCACCATCTGTGGCTGAAGCTGCTGGTTATCCCAGCAGTGCTGCCGCTTCTGGCTGGCAGGACTCACTTCATTCAAGATAGCACGGTGTGGGGTGGCGTAAGTACCTGGGTTGGAGTGACCTGTAACTTTTCTGTCCCTTAGACAGTGCTCTATTGCTGTGAAGAGACACCAGGAGCATGGCAACTCTTACAAAAAGAAAGCATTTAATTTGGGCTGGTTTATAGCTTCAGAAGTTTAGTCCACTGTCATCAAGGTGGGAGCATGGCAGCATGCAGGAAGACATGGTAGCTGGGAGTTCTATCTACATCTGGATCGGAAGGCATCAGGAAGAGAGACACTGGAACTAGCTGGGCAGTGGTGGCACACGACTTTAATCTCAGCACTCAGGAGGCAGAGGCAGGTGGATCTCTGTGAGTTTAAGGCCAGCCTGGTCTACAGAGAGAGTCCCAGGACAGCCAGGGCTACACAGAGAAACTCTATCTCAAAAAAGCAAACCAAACCAACCAACCAACCTACCAAAGCCCAAAGCTCACCCTAACAAAGCCACGCCTACTCCAACAAGGCCATACCTCTTAAATCCCCTTCAAGCAGTATCACTCCATGATGACCAAGCCTTCAAATATATGAGCCTATGGGGGCCATTCTTATTCAAACCACCATAGTCTCTAAGGCTAGGCATAGCTACTCTGGTCAAAGACCCCCAGAGTGCTTGCCTAATGAGGAGGTGGATGCTCTTGTGTGCTCATGAGTCATGCAGGGGTGTTTCCTAACATGTGTTTAGAGATACAGCATGAACTTCAGGGAAAACAAAGCGGGGTGCACAGAGCAGGTGCACAGGGGAGACATCAGTCTCTGAGACGGGAAGAAGTAGAAGAGGGAGGTGAGGGGAGGGGTCAAGATGGCCTATTTCCTGTGGGTGCCCACGAGGGAGGGGTATAGGAACATTCCTTGAGACACCTGGGAGATGGCACAGGGCCAGACCCCAGACAGAAAACAGGGAAGGCGAAAGGGGTGGGGCCGGGGTGCCCACTGTGACCCACCCAGCAAGGGCCTGCTACTCCACGTGGGTCCCAGACACCCCGTCTGAGAACTGAGACTATCAGATCAGCTCAGTTTTCAGAAACAGTCAGCAGTCTAGAATTTCATGCGGGTTTTCCCCATCCGAAAAGCAAAAGCAGCAGGGGCAGCGGCAACAGAAACTACGGCACGGAGAAGAGTTCCAGGGGAATTTCAGGAAACCCCGTGTGCCTCTGAGCTCCCACTCCCAAGAACACAAACTCAAGAACACACTCCTTCTTTAATTCATAAACAGCTTCCTGCCCGTGAGTGGAGATGGTGCATCCCCATTCACACAGAAGAGGCGGCAGGCTTCCCTCTGCATGGCCAACCACTGTCCATGTGCCTGTGTTTCCTGCCTGTTAGCGAGCCTTTTGCTTCTTCTGACCTGAGCCTTGCAGGCACTCCACTGCTGAGCCACACCCCAGGCCTGAATTTTCACCCTCCACCTCTCTTCTTTTTTAGACAGGCTTCACTAAGTAGCTCAGGCTTGCCTTGAACTTGTGATGCTCCTGCTGTTGATATTCTGGCCTGCCCCTTGGGGCCGCCCTGCGAGTCCTGCTGTAAAAGTCTCTTCTTAAGGAAAAACTCTGTCCCTTTCTCTCTCTCTCCTTCCACACCCCCTTGGTCCCCCCTCTCTCTTTCTTCGTCTATTATAATAAACCATTTCCACGTGGATGTAGCATCTGGATTCTGAATGTCCTCCCGCCGCCCCGCCCGCATGGAGTGGGTCGTCCACCAGCCCGCTGTGCATCTGCCCAGCATGCCAGCATGGTTCACTGCACGCACAGGATACCCTCAGGGTCCCCACATGATAATTCATAACACTTGCCTGAGTATCCTCTGGAGTCCTGGGATTGCAGGGACACTGGGATTACAGGGGCGTACCACCATGTCTGGCTAGTCTTATGTCAACTTGACACAGACTAGGGTCATTAGAGAGGAGGGAGTCTCAATTGAGAAAATGCCTCCATAAGCTCTGGTTGTAGGGCATTTTCTTACTTAGTGATTGATGGGGGAGGGCCCAGCCCATTGTGGGTGGTGCCAGCCCTAGGCTGGTGGTCCTGGATGGGAAGAAAGCAGGCTGAGCAAGTAAGTCATGAGGAGCAAGCCAGTAAGCAGCACTCCTCCATGACCTCTGCATCAGCTCCTGCCTCCAGGTTCCTGCCCTGACTGCTTTTGATAATAAACTGTTAGCTGTGAGCGAAATAAACCCTTTCTCCTCCTCAAGTTGCTTTGGCCATGGTGTTTAATCACAGCAACAGAAACCCTAACTAAGACAGGGGCATTACCGAGAAACTACAATGACTGTCCACAAAGTAAGGGGTAGGCTGAACATGGGTAGAGAAGCTGGGCTGCAGCCTCTGGTGACTGGTGGGTGTCACAAGGTGGACATGTTCTTGTTTGTGTCCATTTATGGAGTGACTCTACCATTAAACTGTCAGAACACAGGGATGCTTCCCAGGATGGCCTGTGCAGAGCTGTGCTCAGTGGAGGGTTGTGTGGCCCAGATACTGCACAGACCAAGATTTTTTGTCCTCTGGGGTCATGCTGGGGCTGGGTGGGCAACTGGTGGCTCAGCTGGAAACCTGACTTGCTGTGGTATGTACCTCCTGACAGATGGGTTCTCCTGATGGAATTTGGCTTCCAGTTCTGTGTACATGTTCAATCACACCCTGCTGTCAACACACACAGATGTTCTACAGGCCTGGGGCTCTGCGGTGATCCCCTCCCCAGGCACACAGCTGGATCTCTCTGTGCTGTTCTGAGCTGAGTGGTGCCCACAGTTTCTGGGGCTTGCTGAGTTGTCCCATGCTAAAAAACACCCAGGTCTTCCCAAGAGGGGAACCAACTATGAGAGAAGCACAGCGTGTGCCCAAAAACCAAATGGTTAGGCTCCAACAGTGGTGTGCCATGGACCAGCGACCGACCGTGACCCAACCTCACCATGTGAAGTGCGGAAATTCCTGCTTCTCCATCACCACTGCCCTT